CGGCCGGGGCGGCGGGCGGGAGGGCGAGCCCGGGCGCTGCCCGCGCTGAGCGTCCCCTGTGCACTGTCCAGGCCGGCGGCGCTGTACTGCATGAACGAGGCGGAGCTGGTGGAGGTGGCCCTGGCGGTCTTGGCCGAGGTGAGCGGGGACCTCCGGGGGTAGGGACGCGGCCCTGGCCGTAGCCGAGCACGGCGGGCGGCAGGGCTCGGGAGGACGGTCAGGGAGCGCTGCTGGCCGCGGCTGCCTGGCGGCCCCTCTCTGGGCGGGTTTCCCGGCCCCTCTTCTCGGTCCTTTGCACCCTCCCGGGCGCCGCGGGGCGCAGCCGCGGGCCTGGGGCCTGGCGAGGCGGGCTCTCGGGGATGGTGGGCTGGCCTTGGGGTGCTCCCGGCGTGAAGTCATGCACGGCCGGCGCTTGTTGTTTTCCCTCTGGTCAGAATCTACAGTGCGAGGAAGGTGAAGAGAACGCCCGGTCCAGGAGCGAAGAGGAGCAGGAGATCCCGCCAACACCAAACGAGGTTCCTGGAAGCACGGCCAACACGGATGGAGGAAGTGACCACGGTCCAGCACTTCCATCCCCTCCTGGTGCTGGTGCTGACACAAAGAGGACAGGCAGGGAGAACTCTGAGGACGATGTCCTGAAATACGTCAGGGAGATCTTTTTCAGCTGACATCTCTGACTTCCCAGGAGAAGAGGGCACAGTGGGGAGGATGTCTCCTCCCGCGGCCCTGGGAACGGCGGGAGGAGGGCCCAGATGGGGCTGTGCATCCATCTGCTGTGTTGGTGCCCTGTGTAGCTGGTAGGATACCCAGGAAGGCCAGAGGGGGAAAGGAAGGAGGTGCTCTGTTCTCCCACTCTGTGCTGGGCTCAGTGGGATTTGGCTCCAGATTAGGATGTGTTCATTTCTGTTTCACATTTCAGAGCATGGACAGATAAAAGAGGACATTCTGGTTTCTGTGAGCATCCCTTTGGTGGGTTGGTGTTGGGCATAGAGGGGAGCAGGGAGCTGCTGACCTGGAAGACCTTTGCTGGCAGAGCTACATGGTCATGGTTCAGCCTTGGGGGCTCCCTTGTCCTTGTGGTCCCTGTGTCACAGCTGCAGTGGGGCCTGGCAGGCTGTTCCCATTGGGCCTAGTGCTGAGTTTGCCTCCAGACTCCAGCAGTCTTCCCAATGCTGAGGAACACGTGTGGGAGCCCAGTGGCAGGGGCCGGGACTACCCTGAGGGGACTGGCCCCATGGCAGCGTGCATGGAGGTCTAGGAATGAAGATGGCTCAGTATCCTCTTCCCAGTAAAAAAAAAGGACAGGAAGGGATGAAGATGGCTCAGTATCCTCTTCCCAGTCAAAAAAAAGGACAAACCACATGAGGCCAGCTGTGAGAACATGTATTGAAATGAATCGGTCAAATCAGCATCACCAGCCGCATCCCCACTAAGGCTGAAGCAAGAGAGAAAACAGACCCTCATGTCCCTTGAAACAAATTCACTCAACTGCAAAGAATATCACTGTTAAGCAGGCATTCTTTATTTACATAAGTTCACCCAGCCACGGGATGAATTAATGCAGTGTATACTCACAAAGCTGTTACATATTCACTACACAGAAAAGTCAATAACATAAAACTCCTATTTTGAAAAATGATTCTATGAACTGTTAATTTACTGTTTCAGTAACTGTTAATTAACTGTTTCAGTCTTTTCTGCCATCTAGTGTCCTCTAGGTTTATTACTTCCCTCCTGTAGGAGTTTTGGTGGTCGTTTAATTATCTGCAGCACTTGTCCTTTTATTGCACTTTCTTAATCAGTGCATGCTCAGTCTGTTACCTTGTTTTCAAACTACAAAACTGCTTCTTTCTGGTGTTACTTCACTGTCGTCCTAGATGGCTTTCTTCACAGCCTTGAAGGTTGGTTGTTGATGGCAGCTTATTTATTTTAAGTTATATGTATCCTATCTACTTATGAAGAAATTACCTGTTTGGTTACATTTTCCTGAGCATTTGTTAGTTCCTAGTTAAACACAATCTACAGATACTATTTTTAAATTCCCTTTATCTTTGTTATATGGTAGGGCAAAATGTATTATAAATACTTTGTTAGTTACAAATGTAATCACACGCTATGAGATGCTAGCAACGTTTTTTACTGAGACTAGGTGTGAGCAGAGAGCTGTGTTCGCTGTACGCTGGTTCTGCTACCTTCACTGCTCTTTGGGGCCAGAAGTGCTGCCACTTTGACGCTGTGCCCCAAACTGAGGGGTGTTACACGCTGTTGAACCTGGGAAGGTGCAACGTGTACCTGGAAAGCCTCTGTGCTGTGGCTCTTGGTGTCTGCTGCCAGCTTGATGCAGGAGTGCTGCACACTGCAATGTGCCAGAGCATGGCTGGACATGAGCCTTTGGACTGGGAATCAGATTTTTGCTAGGGAGTAAAGCTGTATTTGGATTACAATTTTAAATCATGTTACCGATAGCTCTTGCATCTTCTTCACTGTCAAATCTTAGTGGGCAGGGCCTCGTCAGTTAAATGGTTTTGACACATATGTGTGTGCTTGACCCAGCACGGTGGCAGTGAGAATCTGGAGCAGTAGCAGAGCCTGAGTCCCAAGCAGTGCCAGGAAGCCTCCAGTGAAATCAGAGGGATGAATCCACTGCGAGGTTTGTAAAAGAAACATACCCAGGCCTCCAGACAGGATTATTGTCTTGATGAACAGTATGATGCGGATCATCTTCCATCCCTCTCCTTGCCCTGTGCAATTCACATTTAAAAGAAAAGGGAGGTGGAAGAGGATGAAGACCAGGCAGGTATACACACAGACCCTGGCTAGTCCCAGCTGTAGTAGACTGATGCCCATTGCCTGTAGGTGCTTGGTGTCCAGGCACTGCAGCTCCCCAGCTGTATCATTCCACAGGCAGAAGTTGTAAAAGCCGATGCGTTTGTCAGGGAGGTTCACCAGGTTTCCAGCTTCATACAGCAGTGCATAGGACATCAAGGCCAAGGCCCCAAGAGTCTCCAGTAAAATCAGCAGGTGCAGCAGGTTCTTGGTACGCCTCTGTGGCAGCAGACCCATCCTGGTGCCTGCATGCTTTCTTGCTACCATGGTAAAAGCTGCTGTGGGGATGCCTGTTGCAAGACATGAAGGGGGGACCCCTCAGTTGTTGCCTCTTATGGCACCCTTCCCAAGATGGGCTCTGAGCCTTATGGCTGGGGTCCAGGGACTCCCCTTGCAAATAGAACTAGAGTGTCTCAGTCCTGCCTAGGACTGTGCTGCACATGAGTTACTGGGTTGAGGGGGGTGCATTTGGTGCACTAGTGGTCACAGCAAAGGTGGCTTAAGGGTGTCCCATGTGTGTACCAGTACTGGGAGGAGAGTATGACTCAGCACCACACATGCCCTTTGCTTCATGGTCTCACTGGAAAAGAGCCATTTGTCAGCAAACTGCAGGGATGGGAGGAGAGAAAAACTGCTGTCTGCTAAGAAGCAAGATAAGAGCTATTCTGGGATAATGCCTTTCTTTTAGTTTTTATCAGACAAGGACATCCCTTGTGATCTTTGGACTACTGAGTAAAGTGCAGACATGACAGGATCTGAACTGCAGGGCTTGCCTTGCCTCCCTGCCCTTGTCTTATAGCTCTGCAACACCCAGTGCCATTGATACCACCCATTTCCAGCATCTGAGCTCCACATGCAGGTCCTTGCATGCCTGTAGATTTCTGAGCACAGCAGGACTGGATACCTGGAGCTCTGCTACCCACTGAGGCTGGTAGACATGGTGCTCCTCTGTCTTGGTTGCCTGGGGCCCAGTCCCCTACACAGAAAGGCAATTGCCAAGCTCAGAGAGGCACCCTGGATCCTCCTGCAGCCACTCGCCTAACTCTGAGATGCAGGGATATGGGTGCTACTGGGACACACCTGTGATTGCCATCCACCTTGCTCCTCTCACAGACTGGTTGGCAAACCCGACTCTGCTCCTCTTCCCAGAATGTGTACTGTCCTCTTCTGCAGTGAATAGGCTTCTGCTTCGCGCTGAAAAACAGGGAAGTGGCATCAGGAAAGGCTATCACTGCCTGCTGAGCCACATGACATTGAAGCATTGTCCACCCAGGTCTGCAGAGAGGCATGAACACAGGACTCAAGAGACCTTGGCTTCAAGCCAGCCTCAGGCTTGAAACTTTGCAAATAACTCTTCCTCCCTCTGACAAGCTTCCTCTGCTGAGAATCATCTACCACTTTCCTTCAAGAAGTTCACATTGGCCCTACTGTCCCCTTCCACCGCCTATTGCCCAGTGGTATATAATTTACTTAAGAACTGGACTCTGGGTCCCTTCCAGTTCATAACAGTCTGTGAATCTGTGATATCCTGGATGTTCTCCTAGACCATCACCCAAAGCTGATTGTGCATTTGTTACAGCCTCTGAGTTTTTAGAGTGCCAGAAGAGACTCCATTGAATCTGTGCTCAGTGCCTGGTGGTGGTGCTGGTGACCAGAGACCTTTCAGCATTCCCTTCCCACTCCTCATCTCTCCCTGGAGACTTGGAAGTGGGGTACTTCTGTTTAATGATGACAAATATGAAGCTTCTCAGTCCCAAACTTCTCCCAGGGGAAGCACACACACAGCATGGAAGGGGGGGTTCACAGCATGAGACACCAACCTGTCCACTTCTCCTGGTCACTTTTCCCTCACTTCTTGTAGACTCCCTTGGAGGGCTTCTTCTCAACAGGCTTCTGGAGAGACTGGAAGGTCAGGTGGAGGACGCCCATTGTTCTGAATCTGCAATGAAGACACAAGCAACCAGGAAAATATCTATGAGAATGAGACCTCCAGCAGATGTAATTTCACCATGGTTTGTCTTTCCCCTAGTATTGCCCCTTGGTTTGTCTGTCTCACACATGTCCTGCACCCAGGCATTGCTGCTCTTCCTCTCCCTGTTCTGCAAGGGCTCATACCACTCATTGCTCTTCCTGCTGTCCTGTCTTACTCTCAGAGGAAGAACAAGCTGCACTTGGAGGAAGCTCTTGGCTGGCTGATCTGGTCTCCAGGGATTTCTGTTAGACCTCAGCGCTGGGACCACTGCAGCCCAGATGACTCTTGGCCCTGCCCACCCACCAACCCTTGCTGTTGTATTTCTTTAGACCAGTTTCCTAAGGAAGGCAGGCTTGTAGAATTGTGGCTTTTTGTTCAGTCATCTCATGCTCACTCCCTCTGCATCCATAAAATGTAAAAGCTATTAAAAATTGTCCTAGTTGCACATGCTTACTAGAGAGGGGACAGATAATTAAATTCCTGTCAGGTTTATGGTAACGTATGGCAAGGCTGGAGGACAGCCACCTCAGAGCCCCTGTGCTGCTGAGTGATCTCTGCATGTGGGGGAACCTGGGGAAAGCCCATGGTATCTCTGCCCTCTCCTTTGCTTTGAGGACATATTTTCCCAGTGATATCCCTCTCTTCATGGTCAAATTGCTGGCATCTTTGCCTCCTGCTGCCTCTGCCTCCCCTGCCCTGCCCAGCCCAACCCAGTAGGTAAATCCCTGTCCCTATGTGTGACTGATAGGACCAGAAACATGCCTGGGATGGCCCTGTGCCAGCTGGATAGAGAACTGGCCTGGAGGCAGTGAAGGCTGAGAGCTGGCACCCTGCCACAGTGCAGCCAGAGACAGGACATTCGTGAGCTCTGCAGTTCATCACTGAGGCAGGTTTGGCAGCAGCCTGGCTGAGAAGCAAGAGACAAACAGGAAAGGGCTCTCACCCAATGTACAGCTTGGCTTTTTCCCAGACAGAGGCAGTCTCGCTGCCTCCAAGGAGGTGTCTTTGGATAGGAGACTCTGTGGCTCTTCCTCAAAGGTGCAAGAAAGAGGAACCTGAACATGGCACAGTGAGCCCCAGCCTGGAGTCAGCCTCCTTGTTCCTGGACTGGCATTGATGGAAACACTGGGTTTCACTGTAGGAGAGCTCTGTGTCTCGGTCTCCCTGGCAGAGAGAGGCCCCATGTGAATGGCTCAGGAGCTCCCTGAGGTCTTTGTGTGGGAGATAAGACTCCTAAGGCACCCTCTGTGCTTTTGGGACTGCACAGCCCTTTCCTCTGCTGCTCACAGGCAGGTGGGCACCCTTGCCAAGCTGGGGCTGTGCCTTCCTCCAGCAAGCAGCTGGTGGAGTGCCTGGACAAGGGGACAGGGAGTCACACAGCTTTGGTACAGGATCTGTGCGGGGACGAGCATCTCTGTGAGCCACTGGATGCTGCTGCAGTGGGGCTGAGTGCAAGGAGGCGAGGAAATGGGCATTTCCTTTTGCACTGAAGAGCCCCCCAGACATTTTCACTTTCTCACCTCCCCTCCCCCTGGCTGCTGAGGGGAGAAATGCTGTACAAGAGATACGGGAAAGTGTAATGCTTTGGACATGACACTTTTCCTTCAAGACATCTGTCCTCTTCCTTCACCACCTCCCCACCCCAGCTATCCGGGTCGTCTTTCTCCCTCAAGCAGGATTAGCTGCAGAGAAACCATGGGTGAAGAAAGGCCACTGACGAGCTAAGGATTGCTGGTAAACAGAAACCAACCAGCAGCAAATGGAACAGACTGTGGGCGACCTGCCCTTAAAGCATCTTATAGCAGGGGAAGGACCCACCAAGACATCGGCACCCTGCAAGACCACTTCTGGCAGTTCTCCCCAATGCCAGTGGCATTAAAAAAGCGGGGGTCTCAGTGGAGGATACTTACGGGCTGCCCATTTGGGTGGGTGTGGAGCTGAAACACGCTGGAGAGGGCTGTGCTGCCGTTCTAGGAGCCGAGAGGTGCTGTGGCTGCAGCCGGTGCTGTGGCTGTCCCCGCAGCCTGTTTTGTCACGTGCAGATGGTTATCTGCTTTCTCTTTCGGTTCTAAGGGCAGTGCTCTTTCCCGATATCAAGTCAGCTGCATGTGACGAAGAAAACAAGCCAAGCCCAGCTCCACAACCTGAGAACCCGAGCCAGGGTCAGGCTTGTGTTTGCTTTCCTTCTCCCTGCTGTGCTAACCAGCACGAACACCTGACCGGGCTAAGCTCACCCAGATCGTTGTGCTGTTAGAGTCGCTTGGGTGTCCATGAGGGCTTAGATTAATTTGTTTCGTTTTGTTTGGACACTTCTATAGAGGTGACTGACCGTCCCAGCACGTATCTCAGTTCCTCAGCGCTACTGGAGTTCGCTGCCAGCATGGCCCTTCTTGCACTTTGGACACTGAGCCCTCCTTCCCTCCCTCTGCTTCCCAGAAAGAGTGTTGCCCAAGTTCCCTGCCCGCAGCTGCCGTGCTTACGCAGGCACAGTGCAAAGTGCCCAGGTGCTGCTGCCACAGGAAACCACTGAAACCTCGAGTTATGTAAGGGGAAAAACTCTCCTGCTGCCTTTAGTCCTCCTGGGCCGATGTGGAACTGCTTGTCCTGCTAGCAGTCCTTTTGGTGGGGTTAGCCCACCTTTGCTGGGAGGGCTGTGTGCTGTGGGTGGATGCATGTGGGACACCTAGCCATGAAGATGTTCACAGATTTTTATCTCCTGATTCCATGCTTAGGCATGGTCTAGAAATGTCCATGTCGTACACATGTTGTGAGCATGCAGTACTGGCGCTCACATCCAAGAGCACAAAGTGGAAAGAAATATGGGAGGAAGTCATAAGAGAAGCTCAGTGGACAGAGACGTGCAGGTGGTGCTGCGGGGATGCCTTCCTATGTGCCTGTGTGTGGAATAACTTCAGCATGGAGAGGGACAAGGGTCTGGATCAAGGGAGTTCAGATCATGGGTGGCTTAGGCAGGGGTTCTGGTGGGTGGGGACAGAAATCTTGCAGCAAATGAAGTCCAGCAGTCCAGAGCTGCTGAGCTAAAGGGGAGAAGGAAGCCTTGGGGCTGAATATGGCCATCTTCTAGCACTGGGGCTGATGGCTGGGAAACTGAGGAATAAGAGACTTCTGAGGCAAGACCTCTGTGCCAGTGGAGTAACATGCTTTGGCAGGGGCATGTTTGTGCTCCCAAGAGGGAGGGGTCTTGCAGTTTGGGAACATTTTTCTCCCATTCAGGGAGAAAAAGGATATATAATTTTGATCTGGTGATCAACCAGCTCCTTAGCTGATCTCAGCACCACAAGTGAAGCTGCTGTTTCACTGCCGTAGGCAGAAGGCACAAGCAGCTCCTTCAAAAATATCCTTGCTTTCACACTGGGGTAATCAGGATGACTGCCACACTGGGTCTGCTCTACCATGCCAGAGCATTTCTCCCTGGAGCCACTGTCCCCCTAGAGGGGTGGCTGTTCCAACACCAGCACAACACGTAACCTGACATTGCTTCCACTGGGCACACACATTTTTGGCCTTTTCCCCCAAGTGAAGATCCCTGTTCAGTCAAGCTGGTCTGCTGCCTCATCTGCTTGACTTCCAACATTTTGGAATTGCTGGCTACTGTGCCCTTAGGAGGTGATGTTTAGAAAGTATAAATGTTTAAATTGCACCATTTGGGAATGTTACTCTTGGAGTGTGGCATCTCACTTGCCAGAGCTGGTTGCCTGATTGTGCACCTGTGGCAGAAGCACTTTTCAGTGTTTCTGAAGTGAGGAGCTCCATGTCTCCACCCTGGCAGGGTCTAAGTCTCTGCTGCTTTTAATGCCTCCTGGGATGCCATGGCTACCAAAAGGGAGAAATCCAGTCAAATTTGACTCAAGACTTGCCCTTGGTCTCAGCTGACCTTCTGACTCTGGCGGCTTCCTTCCACACCTTTGGCTGCCTCTCTAGCAGGTAGTTTTTCTGCCTTCTTCTTGCAGATGTTTGGGCAGGGAAGATTGTGCCTGAAGGCTGGGCAGGATTCAGTTTGTCTTTCCATTCCCCTTCCTGGGGACATTTTACTGGTATGGCTGACTGCCTCTTGGGCTTCCAATGCCCAGGTCTGGTGATGGAGCTGTTGGCAGGGATAAGTCTGATGGGGGTGAGGTGAGCAGGGGAATGATCATCAACATGTCTCATGGACAAAGGATGGGAAGGGGGAGGAGAAAGAGAGCAAGGCTTTTACCTGTATGTGCCTGGTGGTAGGAGAGACTGGATGGAGTGTTTGGGCTGCTGGGTCCTGTTTTCTGTGGGTGGGAAAGGAGAGCATGTTCCAGGAGCCAGCTTCTACTAAGTTCCTGTGTGACCCTTCCTTCCTGGAATTGTTTCCTGAAGTGGACATCATTTTTTCATGCATTAAAAAGGTTTTAAAGCGGAATTAACTGCTCTGCAGTTCTTGATTTCTCATTGTGGAGTTAAAGCAAACACTCAGCAGTTTAGCAATATTAATATTAAGGAAAGCATGAGATGAACTGGGACTTTGCAAAATTTTTTTGCTGATTTTACCCTTCTGTTTTAAAAGTAAACTACTACACCTTATCCCACATATGATTCTGTGCGATAATAGTCCAGTCTGGCTATAAAACACAGAAAAAAAATATTAAGAGCTGGGATATTTATTTATTTGTTTGTTAAACTTCCTCTAAGCAATGCCAATTCCGGGAAAGCCTAGAAGAATGTGATCTGTTACTTTTCTCCCCTTGGGTATGGTACACAATATCTAGGAATTAAATCTGCAGCTGGGGGAGGAAGTGCCAAGCCTGCAAAAACATTTAAAGAGACATTCTTTATTAATCTCCCCTTTGGCAGGCAAACTCTTACTGGTCATAACACTGCAGTATACTCAACTGTACCATACTTAAACTGTACTTGAACTCTACTTAACTGGACTGCCTGTCCCACAGAAGACAATTACAGCTGTAATTGTCTGTGCCTAGACTGAGAGGCTGGGAGAAGGGGACTCCCTTTTAACTGCGTCTCTCCCTGCATACATGTCTTTTTTCTCAAGAGCTGGATCCCCAGTGCCTTGGCTGGTGTGACAGGCACAGCCCCTGCACTGATGGCTGGTGAGGACCAGGTGTCCCCAAGTGCCCAAATCAGTGCTGCAGGCCAGGCCCCTGGGCTCTCTCTCAGCATGACCTGACCCAGCAGATGTGTCTCACAGCTGGACATGGGCCAGCTTAGCTGCAGCTGGCTTTAGTGCTGCACTGCCAGCACCTCCCCTCACGGAACCATTGGGTGAGATCCATGATCAGCAGGTGAGATGGCAGGTCTCACAGTGTATGGGAGGGTTTGTCCCTTGAGAAACAAATAATATTTACAGCATTTTTAACAACCTTTTACTCTAAGCAAAGAGATGCCTTTACAGTTGATATTGAATTTCATTAATAATATTTAGCCCAATGAGCACATTATTACAAATGCATGTACCCTACTGCCAATAGGAGAAAATATTTTTTAACCTCTCTGGAATTTGCCTTGGGTTTATTTTTTCTCCAGTGAGATTGTTGTCAGTCAGTAAATCATAATGTAGTAACGTGATGAAGACAGTTTCAATTACAGAAAATTTAGCTCTTCCAAATGCTGAGGTTGAAGGAAATCCAGCCAAAGAACTCCGTACTTATCTTTGTGGAACATACACTTTACTGAGGTTTCAGCTTATAGAAAAAAATGGCTTATTGGTATTTAAATAATTAAACTTGTAAGGTTTACCTTTTTCACTGGCTCAGGTACCTGAAATATCTTGGTGCAATATCAGTGCCTTGAGTCTGTGAAACAGAGTAGTGCTTTGAGTTTCTGAAAAAAGAATAGGGACAGGAATGAATTATTATGACTAACAAGTTCCAAAAGACTGGCTGACAAAAAGGTGTTATCTATCAGTCAGCCACTTTAGGGACTGTTCAGGGAGAGTACACCACGCTAGGACAGGGGAATCTTGGTAAGAGTTCAACAGCTAATGGGAAAACAGTTACCATGTAAAGGCTGGTATTTTTCTTTTGGTGACAAAATTGTTTGTGTAAAGTTACAGTGATTAAATTAAATTTTCATGTATTGCTCTCTGTCAGAAAAAAAAAAAATCCCCCAAAAAAAAAAAAAAAAAAAAAAAAACAAAAAAACCAAAAAAACCTGCCACAGCGTGTTCATCCTGGGTTGAAAAATATGGGTATTTTTTCTTTTATGACTTCTGTTCTTAGCCATGTTGTTAAAATGTTCGCCTGATGTTTTAGGGTGTTTTCTTTATGGTGTCTTGGTAACCATTTTGATTAATAAGGGAATATTACAGTTACAAATTGAAAAAGCCCCAACAAACCAAACTAACAATTGCAAATAAACATGATAATCACAATGCCAGAAGAAATACACGTAAGAAAGCTGCTCAATGTTGAATCCCTTACGCTGTTCTTTTCAACAAATATTTATGAACCTGGATACAAACATATCCTATTGACAAGGGACCTCACTTCCTTCTCAGTATGGCTTGTTTATTTTTAGTCTGGGAACTGGACAGCTATGCTTTCTCAGTTATATTAATTGCCATTGCTCTGTTTTTCATATGTTTGGGCTTCTGAAAAAAAGAACTGGCATAAAATGCAAAAAGTTAAGAAATACTGGTCTACCTCTTGAACCAATGAAAGCATTAACAAAGCAGTCAGCATTATAAAGTGCATGTAAAGAATAAAAAGGAATATCACCCATTGAAATACCAATGTGACTTCTTTCCAAATAACAGTTTGCTTTCTCTATGCAGCAATAACAGTGCTCCTATGTTACATCTTCAGGCCACAGAGTTTTCTAGGCTGAACATCAGCAATGTGTCATTGAGGGCTACATGCAGCTCCAGCATGAATTTCTGTCAGAAATTCTACTGCAGCTGTGATATTCCTTGCTATTCACCTTTTTTTTTTTTTTTTTTTTTTTTTTCAAATGCTTTTAACCACTTTCATCAAGATCAACAGAAATTTTGTTTAGTCTTTTGATCTAATAAACTTACTTAGTCACTGAAGTAGATCCACATGGGGAAATGCACATACATAATCTTGAGAAGAAGATGTTTCTTGAAGGGATCATGATCAATTTGATAAACTGTTGTTACTTGCTTTACATAGTAACAGCATCACCCTGACATGTTTTGCTTCTGGTACACATCCACCAAAAGAACTTTATTCATTTCATGAAAGGTGTATGAATGCAATCCATGCAATTTCATTGCATGAAATATGTCTTCGCTTGTATTTTAGCACCAAAATGACACAACAGGACCTAGTGAAGCTCGACCTGACAAATAGTTTTGCAATGTATACTGGTGTTTATAGGTCTTGGCAAGCACAGCCTCACAGGGCCAGGTTCTTAGGTGGCCAAAGTGGTGTTCAGTCCTGAACATCTCCTCCTCTGCTAAGTTTTCCTTTTTTCTGTTTTTTATTTACAGTATTTATGTCACAAACAGGAAGCAACAATTTCCAGGAACTATTATTGTTGGCTAAATTTCATCCCAAACTTTCTAAAAGTCATTTACTCACAGGAGTTTGCTTTGCATATCTGTGGGAAACCTCTTGAGTAATAGTATGTCAATCGCAAGCACAAAAGAAACAAACACCAAGTAAACAAGAAGAAAAACATACTTCAACCATTTATATCTTGGCAAAACAAGTAAATATAGGTTACAGAAAAATAAAATGTCTCTTTGTCCTCCTGTAAAATCACTCTTTGGAATCTGAGTGATTTAAATACATTTGTCTATGAACTTAGATGTAGGCAATAGGCCCTTAGTGACACTGTGGTGGCTCTTCTGCATGTGAGCGAGGAGGACACAGCTCCTGAGCACTCTGAACCAGGTGTTACCAAGCATAGCTGACACCAAAGTACAGAGCATGATACTTCTTGTGCTTAATGCTTGTGCCCTCACCATCCTGACCCTGAGACTGCTTACTCAGCTGTACTGCAGAAGCTGACAGGTGAAAGCTGCCTTCCTTGGAACAAAAACTGCCTTCTGGATGATCAGGATTAAGCAACAGGGAAAATGAATACTTCTGGTCTGCACTGCTCATCTGACCTAGTTCTCTGACAATGCATCAAGATCACAGAACCATCACAGAATGAGAGTGGTCTGGGTTGGAAGAGACCTTAAAGATCACCTAGCTCCAGCTCCCCTGCCAAGGGCAGGGATACCTTCCACTAGACCAGGTTGCTCCAAGTCCCATCCAACCTACCTTGAACACTTCCAGGGACAAAGCATCAACAGCTTCTCTGGCCAACCTGTTCTGGTGAGTCTTCACCCTCATAGTGAAGAATTTTTCCCTAAAATTTATTCTAAATTTATGCATGTGTCTTTTTATTTCTTTGCATTTCAGCACCAGATCTTGATTTCTTATGATGGATGTCTTAAATTTGATGAACTAGATACAATTTATTAATGTTTCCCCAGAAAATAAAAGAAGTGTACAAAAGTTTTATTCCCTAATAAATGACCACGTCAGGGCCACAGCTCTTCATAACACAAAGTTCACCTCTCTAAAATCACCTGCATCTCTGATCTCCCAGTCACTCACAGTCTACACAGGAGGAGCTGATTGTGTTTAGTAGGTGCATCATTGGGTCAGCATAGAGATCCTTGCTCTGCTGTCAGTTACCCTGAACTTAACCACTTTGGCTAAAAGCAATCAGAGTAGTGTCCTCCATGGTTAATGAAATAAAGTTTACACAAAACCAAATAATACAACTTTTATTGTGCCTAGGTTGATCTGCAAAGTGTAAGGCTGCAGAAAAAAAAGTGTATTGATTTGAGTGATGCAATAGACCAAGCTCTGTATCACCACAGTTTTTTCTCCTCAGAAAGGCCACCTGGCATAGATACAGTGCTTTGCTTCTTCCAGTGCACTGCTTATTAGGGTTTGACTCTATGGTTTGTGTTGTCTTTTAAAACGTGTTAAATTAAATAGTGTGACTCTTGAAAGTCTAGTTTAGTAACATTTCTAACATTTTCTAACAATTACTCTGACATTTTTTATGAGATACAGGGAAGATATAATAAATGGTGGCATATCTGAATAGTTCTAAGTTACCTGGAATTTCAGTTTAATCAGAATTTCAGTTTAACATCAGAATT